GTTACGAGAGATCGTTGGTATTGAAATGTTTGGAATATATCATACTTATTTCGAGTTAGACGCAGAGTGGTTTCCGAATTACGTTTTACTCATTCGATTGGGAATTTTATATCAAGAGCCCCAGGAGAATCGGATTTCGTTCACATTATTTTTTAGTTATCCGTTTTATCGAACAGGCGGACGTACAGTCGAGTTTTAAGGCGAGGGAAGCGGAAAATATAGTGGTCTCCAAAAATCGTGTGCACTCTATGGGTACTGCAAACAGCAAGAGTCAGTCATATTATACACTGCCCCCCTCCCCCTGTTATCACTGATTCATTGTGCTAGAAGATTAAGCAGTCACACCGATTCGCAATCCAGGCTGCACTGCTCCAGCAGTAAATTACTTGAACGATATGCCCATTTTCAAACTCTGGCATACGGTATGCAATCCTGATTAAAAGAACGTAAATTGTGCTTGATAGCGAGTTCGACCGAAATGGTTTTCATAGACTCGCGTTCAACAGTTACCTAATTTAGCGCACAGAAAAACATTTTTTCTTCCACTCTAGATCCCCGACTGCCTCTCGGACACGTTTCCCGCCAAGATTCATGCAGGCGTTCCCAGCACAAGTAGATATTGAAATGTTCCGGTTGCACACTTGCAAGTTACTTCATCCATTGAACTGTGCAACTTGATTGAAAGGTCTCGATTTTACCACACGCTATAGATGGCGTCTTGGCTTTCACCTCGATCGCTAGGATTCTATCAATAAACACACATCTTCAGGTGAACTGTTTTCTTTGGAAGAGACTATCGTCGTGATTGGCAAATGGTGGGAAACTGTTACATGTAAGAAAGGGGGGGAAATCCATTTATATTTTCATACACTAGATCATTTTCAATTTTTCATGTTTGGGGCGGAGTAACCGGAGCAAAAAATGTTCTTAATCACGTCTCTTACTTGATCACTTAAGGGAACTGAGCTGTTTACTAATAGATTTGCCGTTGCAACCGAAGGACAATGCAACGAAAATGTTGCCCAGTCTGTTCGGAGAGGAGATATGACAGCTGAACACTGATCGATCGAAATGGTTGCTCATACAGTTGCACATTTCGGCTAGTTAGCCTGCGCCATAACTGTCCGCAGAGCGGTGACGGCAGTCATATTCTCCGCAATTTTGGTGGCGTTTTGTTTTTTCGTATTCGTCATCCGAATCACTCTTCAGATTAACTTTTGACTCAAAAATGTACTATCCGAGGGGCCTCGATAAAGTCGGTTACTCGTAAAAATGTTTGATGTGTACAACGCCATGTACACATTTTGTAGGTACAGTGTCGGGTTTGTTTTCAACTTGGACTGGTGTTAGCACACCTCTAATTGCACCCTACACATCGGAATTGATGCTTTCCAACTCTCGGCTGTTAGTTTTTCCTAATCAGCTTTGGCGCACATCACGAGTCCGAATCGTTGCTCACCGCGGAACGACAGAGTTATCCCACCGAGGAAATGTCTATTAGAGAGCAAACTGCGAGTTATGAAGTTACAGTGGCGTGCTGAATGATTGTCCTAAAACGGATTATCAAAACATTTAAAGGTTAATTGTCATAGTTTGTAAAGAGTAAGTAACATACTTTGTTTCATAATTCAATATGCCAGGTTGATGAAACATAAGGGGTAAGACGCAAAATGTGATCGCATTAAAAATGTTGATACGGGACAATGTGTAGTCGAAATTGTAGTTATCTGAAAGAATTTTCACTTCATCAGTTAATTTCCAGGCAAGATGAGGTACACAAATGGATTCAGTGCACTGATGTACGAGATAGATTGAGTCGACACTTGAAACGGTTGCAGGACTGGATTGTACAAGTGGATAGAATAGATCAGAACAGACGAACTTTTCCCTCAAATTTCGAAATACGCTTATACCGGCATTTAAAACAGAATATCAGGTGAACAATTTTTTTCAATAACACTATACGGGAGGATAAAACCTAAGGGTTAAGAGGATAAGAACATAATGTGAGGAACCGATCTGTGCTTCTGAGTTTTCCAGCTACGTCACGCTCGTGTGCCCCAGATCTGAGGGATCAGTGTTATTGTGTGAAAATGTATGTGTGAGGGTAGGGGTAGGGGTAGGCTCTTGAAACCAGGGGAGATGGAGAGCTTCGATAAGACGCTTCTGGACACAGATCCGGGGGTCAAATGTGATTTCGGCTGTGGCCACCATACGCATTCTGACCGCTTCGAGTTAACGCCATAAATAATGCGGGACGATTCAGTGGGGTTAACACGATGGCCACCGTCTACTAAGTGGATGAGAAACGCACTTGTGATAGATCCCTGACCATCTTGGCTCATATAAAGTTTAACGGTACGACTACGAGTTATTGAGAAGAATTGTTCGCCTGAAGTTGTGTTCTGAAATTTTCTCTGTGAAATTCAAGTGAATTTCAAAGCATCAACGTATTTGTTACAAATATTGCTTATCAAAACAGACAAGAGATTTTGCGAAGCACGCCCGATCGGTGAGCCTCAATAGCTTGAAATCAGCCTACAGCAGACAAGGTAGAAAAGAGCACAATGCTGAAAGTGAGCCCTTGTCATGAATATTCATCGTGAAAACGATGTATTATTGTTTGAAAAGAAAGTCCTTTCAGTTTGAGAGCAACAGTCTGTGCTTGAGGAAGACCACCATCAAGGGCCACATTTATGTACTTCACATCACTGGTTCTGTTTAGTGATCCTGCTTTAATGTACGCATTATTAGACGCAGACGGAACTAAGCAGGGTTGAGAAAAAACCGGATGAAAGGGAGCACCTCACAGGACGAGACATTTTGCATTCTGATTGATTTGAAGAAGAGAGATGCGGCAATATCATCAGCCTACTCAACGTCAGCATATGGCAAGTCACTTGCATATATTGCAAGTTGGATGATTTGTTCTTGTTTGTTAATGAGGACTCTGAGATGATCTGTCTACGAAGGTCTGTCGCCAAGTCTTTAAGCGTGTAACTCTCCCAAATGACCTTTGCAAATTAGGATGTTTGGTTCCGTTTGGATTTCCGCGAATGGCAATCGTTATATATTACCAAAAAGGAGTGTGTAATAGTCGGACCTGAATAACATTGCTGTTCAGTTTAT